AATAGCTGATAGTATAACACGGTCATTTATATCGAGCTGTTACTCGGAAGAGGAAGGGTGATGAAGTATCATATCTTAAATTACGTTTTATATGTATTCGGCAATTGCAACCTCCTTTAGTAATGTGCGTCCTTTCTGATTTTCATCAGATTTGCACTAAGCTTTTCTTATCAAGGATATTTGAGGAGTTTTTTAAAATCATCTTAATGTTTCTCACCTTTTTACATTCACAGTATTATCACTACTTTTTCAGGTCGGCGATGGCACCACATCAGTGGTCATTGTGGCAGCTGAACTTTTGAAAGCTGCTGATGAACTTGTGAAGAATAAACTGCATCCCACTACAGTTATTAATGGCTACAGACTTGCGTGCAAAGAGGCTGTCAAGTACATGCAGGTGATTCTTTGTCACCCATCGGACTTGTTGTTTATAATCATGAAAACATTTCATTTTGTTGTCATGGATTTCAGTTACGCTGTTGAAATGTCATTTTGAGAACATGTTTCTTTTGATATGATGTCTTAATTGTTTGCAGGAAAATCTCTCTTTTTCTGTCGATGAACTTGGTCGCCAATCGTTAGTAGAGGCAGCGAAAACAGCCATGAGCAGTAAAATTATCGGACCGTAAGAAACGTTTTATTTTAATTCTTCTCTACTTGTTATAAAGGATGATATGTTCTAGTGATTCTGATTATTTTGCTTCTCTCTGTGTTGATGCTGCAGAAGCAGTAAAAGTTACAGACTCGACTGGAAAGGTTTGTCATTGTTTAATTTTGTGAGGATGTATCTCTGAGTTTTCTTAGATCACTTATCCGATTGCTGCTGTCAATGTCCTGAAAGCTCATGGTAAAAGCGCTCGCGAGTCGATGCTGATTAAAGGATATGCCTTGAACTGCACTGTAGCCAGTCAGGGTAGGATAATCAGCATGAAAGCTTTAACGTTTGCTGGATTTTGAGCATGTTGAAGTTAAATGAAATTATCTTTTTTAGCCATGCCACTCATTGTTACAAACGCTAAAATTGCCTGCCTTGATTTTTCTTTGCAAAAAGCTAAGATGCATCTTGGAATTTCCGTTATCGTTGAAAATCCTGAGAAGCTAGAAGCAATCCGAAGAGAGTGAGTTCAGCAAGTTTAAATTAGAATATAGTATGGATCATTTATTTTTGCTTAGAGAATATGATATTACAAAGCGACGTATTGAAAAGATCCTCAAAGCTGGTGCTAA